AGTTTCCCATCATAAATTTCCAAGAAATGTTATCAAAGGCCTTCTCCGCATCTATAAAAATTAAAACAGCTTTTGTATTTATGTCAGTTTGGAGAAGTTCCAAAATATCAATAATGTTCCTTGTGTTAGCAAACAAATGTCTACCTGGGAGAAAACCGGCCTGGTCCTTATGAATTACTTCATTTAAAACTTTTTAAATCTACTTGCCAAAATATCTGCAAATATTTTGTAATCCACATTTAAAAGGGAGATGGGACGGTAGTTCTTCAGTTGTGTCTTTTCAGTTTCTGACTTTGGTATCAATGTGATAAACGCTTCCTTCCACGAATCCGGTGCCCTCTTCCCTCCATAATTTCATTGCTAACCTCCATCAAGGGTTGTATCAAATAGTCTTTTAGTGTCTTGTAATACTTGGAGGTCAGCCCGTCTGGCCCTGGAGATTTGCCAAGTTGCATGTTCTGAATAGCTTGTTCAATCTCCTGTCGTGTTATTTTAGAGTTCAGGATTGTCCTATTTTCTTGTGACAGTTTAGATAATCCATTTTTGCCAAAAATTGTTTAATCTCAACTTCGTCTTGCGGCCCTTGGGTATATAATTTTTTAAAATATCTCTGGAAACACTTTCTAATGTCCACTGGATTCTGAATGTTTCTTCCATCAACCTCTAAATTTGTAACCGTGTTTAATCTTTGTCTTCTCTTCAACTGCCAGGATAGCAGTTTTCCACATTTATTCGCCGACTCAAACGTTTTTGTTTCATTAATTTGATCTTCCATTCAATTTCCTGATTTATCAATTTAGAATACTGTGTTTGATACAGTTTAATTTCTCTCAGAGTTGGCTGTGACTTTGGATTCACTCTTAATTTCTTCTCTAATTCTTTTATTTTATCCAAAATCTTGTCTTTTTCTCATTTTGTGTTTTTTTCTTTACTACATTCTGTTGTATCAGGAATCCCCTCATGACAGCTTTGCTTGCGTCCCAGACGATTCTTTTTCCACCGAATTGTTCATATTTATCTCAAAATAATCTTTCAAAACTTTTTGGGCCTTCTTGGTAATTTCCTGATCTCTAAACAAATTGTCATTCATCTTCCATCTAAAGGATCCAGTTGGTAGTAGTGTCATGTCCATCTTTACTGCGTTGTGGTCAGAACAGGTCTTTGGGCAGATTTCCACTTTTCTAACCCTAGGTGCCAGGCCTCTAGAGATCCATATTTGGTCGATTCTTGTCCAGGTCAGTTGGGCTTCAGAAAAGAATGTTCCTTCTCTACCTAGTGGGTTCTTTGTTCTCCAAATGTCGATCAAATCCATATTGTCAGTCATTTCAAAAAAGGTTTTAGGTAGTCTGCCATCTTTTGTGATGTTTTGACTTTGCGACTTGTCCATGTTAGTTGACACGACCCCGTTCATGTCTCCCATCATTATGATGTTGTTGTAATCCAGATGATCCAGCATTGTCCCCTGCAACTTCTTGTAAAATTCCGATTTCCCTTCATTAGGCGCATAGATTCCTAATATCAGCAGTTTCTCTCCTTGATATTGTATCTCAATAGCCAAAATCCTTCCATGTTCATCTTTAAATAGAAATTTAGGTGACAGGCTCTCTTTTGCATATATCACCACTCCTCTCTTCTTCACTTTATCCGACGAAATAAATTCCTGGCCCAATCTTTTATTTATTAACACTTTTCTGTGGAGCCTCGTCACATGTGTTTCTTGTAAGCAAATAATGTCCAATTGTTCTTTTTTAATATATGAAATATTTTCTTCCTTTTCTCCGGAATATTGCAACCATTAATATTCCAGCTCAACAGTTGCAGAGACATCCTGGATCTATCTGGTTATTTCTCCTGGGGTGGTGTCTTCTCTTGATCTTCAAGTTCCCGAGGTGGAGGTATTGATGCTGGCTTTGCCTCAGGCCCGGAAGGTAGTTCAATTCCTTTATGTAGGTCCTCTCCGTGTGTAGCCAGAAATTTATCTCTCTCTTCCAATGTTCTAATTTTAACCTTTCTCGCTCTAAAGGTAAAAGATAATCCTTGGGGAAAATCCCACCTGAATGGAATTGCGTTGCTCCTTAATAGTTTAGCAAGTTCGGAATAGGCGGCTCTAAGGTCCAACAGTTGTCTTGGGATATCTTTATATATCTCAATTCTTCTATCCAAAACTTCCAGTGACTTTTCGTAATGTAGGCCCAAAATCTTATCCCTTTCCTCCTTCGATCTCAATGTAATCAAACAATCCCTGGGCCTCTCCTTCTTTATAAATCTTCCAAGTCTGAAAGCTGACACAATTTTAAAGTCCTTTTCTTCCAAATTCCAGAACTTGGAAAGTTCTTTGGTCAAAAACTCAGTTAGATTTCCTTCTTCTGCCTCTTGTAATGATCTAATCCTCAAATTATTCTCACGATTTCGCAGTTCTATCATAGAAAGATAAGTCTGATGTTCCCCAACTTGTTTAGTGAGTGGTCTTACCTCTTGCTCTAAATTTTCCAATTTTTGTCTGGTATCCTCAGCCAATTTTCGGTTTTCTACTGAGGCCTCCGTCAACTGTCCAATTGCTTGTGTATTCTGTCCCACCTGTGTAGTTAATTTGTTTAGACAATCTGTATTTTTATCAATCTTTGCTGATTGCGCATCTACTTTCTTGTCCAAAGCTTCCAATTTTTCAAAGATTTTTCTAGCACAGAAACAGATGCTCCTGAGGCCATATCTTCCAATTGTAACTGCTCTACTTCACCCTCTCCCTCTTTTGCCTGTAGCAAGGCAGCTTCTTCAAGTTGTACTTCTGAGGGCAAAGTAGGCACAGATGATCTACGTGTCTGCGAGGCTGAGGTTAGGTTTGTTAGAGTTGTTTGTCTAACTCTTCCTCTTCTTCTTGTACCACTCATTCCAATGTTATCTATCAGTCAAGGTCACACTGAGTTTTTCCCACAGGAATAGAGAGGCCCAGAGCAAGCAGACAACAAGGGAATCGAAAGTAAATGTATTTATAAAGTCACTGTTTTAATCCAATCCTCTAGAGGGAGCTTAAAATGTCTTTTCAGAGTCTGATTTAATGTCCCAGAACCTTCCAATATAAGTATTAAGCAGAGTTTAAAAGTAATCACTTTGTTGCAGACAGTGCTTATTTGTCTCCAAATAGAATGTTTCAAATTTAAAAGGTCTCAATACCCTCAGATTGTTGCAACTTCTAATATACAGTATCCAAGTCAAACACTGACAGCCCACTGTTACAGTGCTCAAGCAATCCTGACTCTGGGTTTCACCTTCCAATTTGTAATCCAATAAAAGGGGGAAAGTCAAGTGCAAATAAAAGGTCCAAATCTTTAACTTGTTAGTTTTACTTTAAATTGTAAGTTCCATAGATGCTTGGCTGTGTAGAGTTTAAAATCTCTTTCTTTCAGCCTCCACTCCTCCACCTTAGTTGCTTTTTTTTCCAAGTTCAATGGCAGCGGAAGACGGACTTCCTGTTTCCACGTCTCTCCGCTTTCAGCCAAATTCAAGTCAATTTAAACCTTCTCATTTAAAATTTGTAATTCCAAGTGATTCAGTCTTTACTCACGAATAAGTTGTTTTCTTCCAGGTCCGAATTTTAACAGGAAAAGGGATCAGCGCTCACCGGCAGCAGCAGCGCGGCTTCGCTCCGCTGACTGTGAAACGGCTCACAGCGCCGCAGCCCCCCTCCACGCTCCGGAGCCTCTTACGAGGCTCCTTCTGCAGTAGGAGGGCTGCTCTGGCGCCCGCCGAGCCTCAAGACCCCAGGCTCTTGCTGCCTGGGGTTTTTCTCGTTGGGTCTCCGCTCGCCGTAGCGGACGGCCCGATTTCAGCGGAGCTTCTTCTCCCATCGGGAGAAGACCGCCATTACCGTTCGCGCCGCCCCCCGGAAGTCTAGTTTTCAATATCTTGTCCATCCGTTTCCCTAACTGTTGCTACTTCATGTTATCAATGTCAACATTATAAACAAGGATCCGCTGGGGACAACATTTTGTCAAGTTCCTTATCAGGTGGCCTGGCTTTTGTAAATCGGAGGGAAGTCATTATCTTTAATGAAATCTTTGTGCTGGAAGAGTGTCTCTAATTGGCAATGAGATGTGGGAGCTGTACATAGAAAGAAACAGAATGGCCCATGCTTCAGGTTCAGATCTAGCATCAAGTAGTGGCCATGGGTTTGGCTTTGTTGAGAAAGGGGTCTAAGTGCCAATAGCTGAACACTCATTACGTCCATTTCTCTCTAAGGCTGACTATGCAGCAGCCATCAGGTGTGAATGGGTGGGTGTGTCCAGTCTGTGTGATCTTGCTCCACTACATATGAAGCCTTTCCCATCTCCCATTCTGAGTCCCTCAGGCATTCAGTGGACACCCCTAGGGTTACAGCAGTGCTCAGTTATTATATTCTGTGCCCTCTGCTAGCAGTGTTGCATGTGTGTGGACGGTTATCTCAAACTGTGCGGAGGGGCGGGGTTTGGTGCCTGGGTGTGCAAACTATTGAAATAACTAAATGGATAAAAGTTTTATTGTTATTTATTAAATTTCTATACCACCCTTCATCCAAGGATCACAGGGCAGTTTACAGTAAAAAACACACACTCAAAAATACATAACATAATAACAAACAAAAAATCCCAACACAGTTTAAAAGGCCAAAGATTGTTTAATTAACTAAAGGCCTGGGAGAAGAGGAGTGCTTTTGCCTGGCACCAAAAGATATCTGGTGAAGGCTCCAGGCGAGTCTCCCTGGGGCCAGCATCCCACAAACAATATTTTCATTGTATTAGATCTATATGCCACCCTTTATACACCACTGAATGCAGATCACTTTGAGGCTTCTTTCTTACAATCAAGCAATATCTAAAAGGAAGGAAGGAAGGAATGTATGTGCATTTGATTATAGATGCTTGCCAGTGCTATATTACTCTCAAATTGGATTTCTAGCCACAGTTTGCATAACTACTTAAAACACATGTCCCAGTCAGCTTCTATAGTGCATATCAGTTTGCACAACTTCTCTCTCTCTCTCTCTCTCTCTCTCTGTGTGTGTGTGTGTGTGTGAGAGAGAGAGAGAGAGAGAGAGAGAGGAGGAAGGGAGGGAGAGAAAGACAGACAATGAGGGCAAGAAACAAGAATCCCGAACGTGCAGGGGTTGTTTGGAAAAGAATGAATTTCTGAAACTCTTCACAGATTATTTGTGGTAATGAAGGGAATAGTTTTTGTATAACTGTAGTTAAGACTAAAGAGCAACATCAGTGACAGTGTTTGTCCGCTCCTTCTGCCTACACTTTTGTCAACTATCTGTGAGATGTCCTGAATTTTGCTTGTGTAGCATGGTTGGAAGGGTAAAAATAAGAGCTGCATCCAACAGCTGATGTTTCCATCATTAAGTGGGAAGGTAAAAAACTCAACAATAGCCATTCTCAATGCCTTAGATCAGGGGTCCTCAAACTGAGGCCCACGGGCCAGATCTGGCCCACCAGCCTTCTAAATCCGGCCTGCTTAATGGTCCGGGAATTGGGTCCGCTTGTTCGGGCTGCGCCAGCGCGGGCAGCGCATGCGTGTCCTCTCTCTCACATCGTGGCGGCGCCTCCTCCCTCCCTCCTCCTGGCCTCTCCCTGCCCTGCCTAGAGCCGAGAGGAAGGGGGCTGGGCTTTGTTGGTGCCAGCAGCAGCAGCGTTAGTGCTCAAGCGGCCGACATTGCAAGCAGGCTCATTTTGGGCTTTTTTGGTGCCAGCCCATCTCTGGAGCCCTTTTGCATGCCACTCATCATCCCTCTGCCACTGCCAGCCCCTGCTGCTCGCAAGACACAGGTAAGCAGCCACCGGGGCTCATCCAGTGCTGTGGAGAAGGGAGGGGAGTGTTGTGGGGGTGTGTGGCTTAACTGAGTAGAATGTCTCCTTTTAAAATGCATCTCTGGGTTAATTTTGTAGAATGTGTCCTTTCTTGCATTTTTTTTTAACGGACAATTTTATTGCCTGGTGGAACGGTTTGGATCTCTTAAGTTTTGCAGGGCAACCCTAGGCATGCCTACTCAAAAGTGCCGTATTTTTGCTCTATAGGATGCACCGGACCACAAGACACACCTAGTTTTTAGAGGGGAAATCAAGAAAAAAATATTATTTCACTCCCCAACCCCAAAGAGCAAAGAGCCAAGGCAGCGAGCGTGATCCATCCCGCTCGCTGCCTTGGCTTCCTCTTAGCCTTGCGCAGCCTCTCCAGCCGGGGGAGGCTAAAGAGGAAGCCAAGGCAGCGAGCAGGATGGATCGCGCTCGCTGCCTTGGCTTCTTTAGCTTTGCGCGGCCTCTCCTGGCTGGAGAGGCTGTGTGTGGCTATGGCAATTCCCCCACCTCCCGCAAAAGCCCACAGGAGCCGTGCACCCTTTAAGGGCTTTTCTACGAGGAGGGAGAAGGGGCTGACTGGCTGTGTCAGTCCCTTCTCCTTCCTGGAGAAAAGCCTGCAAGAGCCGTGCAAAGCTTGTGTGTAGCTCTTGGGGGCTTTTCCTGCCTGCCTCTCTCCTGCATTCGTTCCATAGGACGCACAGACTTTTCCCCTTAGTTTTTAAGAGGGAAAAAGTGCATCCTATGGAGCGAAAAATACGGTAAGTTTGGCAGGACCTGCTCTCAAGAAAGCGTGTCTAGGATTGCAGTCTCAGTGACTCCCTTAACTGCCTGCCCTCCAAAACACCCACTATCCCCATTCATTATTGACCAGGTTGCAGGAACATTACCTGTCGGTGGAGAACCAACCTGTGCTCCAGAAGCAAGTTTTCAAAATTAGACCTCCTCATTAAACAAGTGAAGGAGGAAAACTTCTGCCATCTTCCCACAACTCAAAACCTGTTGGTGGAAAAACCAGCAGTTGCATTCCCAAACAAGACATGTGTGGATTTACTAGAAATGTTGCAAAAGGAGTTTCAGATTAGATTTAAAGAGCTTCATCTCCATGAACAGGACGTACAGCTTTTCTGGAACCCATTTTCTGTTGACATTGAAATTGTTGATCTGATTTACCAAATGGAATTGGCCAAACTACAGAATTGTGACTCTCTGAAAGACGCATTCAAATCAAGCAGCCTCACTAATTTCTATGCATCTCTCCCCTCTGAGACATATCTTAATCTCAGGAACCATGCACTCAAATTTGCAGCCGTCTTTGGCAGCACCTATGTCTGTTAACAGACATTTTCCCAAATGAAACATCTGAAATCTCCAACCAGATCCAGACTAACTGATGAACACTTCCATCATTTGCTGCTACAGTCATACCTCGGGATAAATATGCTTCAAGTTAAGTATTTTCGGGTTGTGCTCCGTGGAGTAATAGAGCGTGTTACTTCCAGGTTTTGCCGCGTGCACATGCACAGATGGTCAAAATAATGTCACGCGCATGCGCGGATACAGGTTGCGTTTGCTTCAGGATGCGAACAGGTCTCCGAAACAGATCATGTTCGCATCCCGAGGTACCACTGTACTAGCAGTGACAAATATGGAACTGGATATCAACTATCTTGTTAGCCAAAAACAAGTCCATACTTCCCATTGAAATACTTATAAGTTTATGTTGATTAAAATCGTTCTTCATTTTAAATATTGTATTGTTTTTTGTGCACTACAAATACAATGTGTGCAGTGTGCATAGGAATTCGTTCATATTTTTTCCCCAAAATATAGTCTGGCCCCCCAAGAAGGTCTGAGGGACAGTGAACCGGCCCCCTGCTGAAAAGGTTTGAAGACTCCTGCCTTAGATTATATCAGACTCAACATAATCTTTCAGTAATATATAATTCTCTGGTGTGCTCTCAGCAGCAAATATACTTGGAACAAAAGAGTATTTAACCTGAACAAAATCTGAATACAGGACACATAGCAATTTAGTTTCTAGCAGTGTGCTTTAAAACCCTTATCTATGCCAACATTGTGAATAGTTTTTCTAGAATAAATACTGGGATGTCTGGCTTCTGTGTTCTCTGTGGGAGCTGGTCCAACCCTTATCTGTGACCCAGAAGCGTAGACCTCACACCTTCCCTGTTATAACTGGCATCATCTATCAGTGAGGGCTGCATAGGCTATGAGGGAAGAAACTTCTTCCTGGCATGGAGCTGTTGAAGACACAAAAAGCATCCCTTCAGTCAGGAGGTGGGGAACCTAATTATTAGTAGGTCTTTGCATTGTCTGACTGAACATAATATGTTTTTTTGTTTATTGTGACCCATAATGTTCTGGAGTTGGCAACACCCAGTTATGCATGGAGAGAATTTGATGAGTTTTCTTTTTTACAAATGTCAGTGAGTCCAGGTAACAGGGAGGTAAACAAGGTCAGATGTTGACCCACAAAGCTGCCATTGCTGTTGGCAATGTGTATGACAACTGCCAGACATCAGGGCAGGTGGTTTACTTCCAGTGTGTCTTTGTGTGTGTTATAGATTTGGCCAATGATTATTTGTCTCAGTCATTTGTATTTTACCTGTCTGCCTCAAAGAGGCCTCCAGGACTGCAAATAAAGCTAAAACACAGTAAAATATGTAGTTGCCATTTAAATCAAGAACTTAAACTTGTAAAATTATAAAATGCTGTTCGAACAATAAAACGCTAATGGCTGTACAGTGGTGCCCCGCAAGACGAATGCCTCGCAAGACGAAAAACTCGCTAGACGAAAGGGTTTTGCGTTTTTTGAGTCGTTCCGCAAGACGAATTTCCCTATGGGCTTGCTTCGCAAGACGAAACGTCTTGCGAGTTCTTGCGAGTTTGTTTCCTTTTCTTAAAGCCGCTAAGCCATTAATAGCCGCTAAGCCGTTAATAGCCGCTAAGCCGCTAAGCCGCTAATAGCCGTGCTTCGCAAGACGAAAAACCGCTAGACGAAGAGACTTGCGGAACGGATTAATTTCTGTCTTGCGAGGCACCACTGTATCAGCTTTGTAAATAGACTCTTGCTTAGTTGCTTCTGTCAAATGATGGGTGAATAGGCAGGGGAACTTTACAAAAAGTGTCTCTTTAGGCCACACTTTATTAACTCATCTTAGTGTGGGCAGGGGGGGCCTGGTAAATCCTTTTCAAAGTAGGCTTTCTTGAGAGACTGGAATGTATATTGTGTTAACACAAGACAATTATTCCACACAGCCAGCAAATTCCCACAAGTCTTGCAGAAGAGAGAGGTTATAACTTCTCTGAAAACTTGTGGGCATCCTGAGGGAGAAGATTCCAAAGGCTACAATTATAGAGCTGGAAGGGACACAGAAGGTCGTCTAGTCCAACTTCCTGCAGTTCAGGAATCTCAGCTAAAGCATCTGTGAGAGAGGACCATCCAGCCTCTGCTTAAAAACCTCCAGTGACCTGGCTTTGAATATCCAGCAACATCTGAAGGGTAGCTACCCCATAGTATTCTTATACTAGGTAATTTTAGTAAGGAACTGCTTGGAAAGGGTCGTTTTCCTTGTGCATACAGTCATGGCATTTGCCATGAAGCTTCTGATTTCCACATGGCAAACTTAGGTGTCATCAAATAAATGTTGAGAATGGAGTGTGCTTGCTTATTTTCTATTGGAACATCATAAAACCATGTCATACGTTAAATTATTTGTGAAGGTAAAACCAAAAATGTACTGTATTGGCCAAAGTATAAGCCACACCCACAAATAAGCCACACCTTTAAAATTCAAGGGGGGGCAGGGAAAAGACAATACCTGAATACAAGCCACTCCCTTAAAATTCTGCCGGCACTCACACCCGTAAATGGCAAATGTAGGAGAAAATCCTACGGGTACATTCCCCTGCGCTCCTGGGCTGCTTCCGGGGGGGGGGGGGTGAGCTGTGCCACTTTGCCGGTGGCCTTCCCCCCTTCCCCCTTGGGAGTTTGGGGGAGGCTTGGGAGCCACGGTTGGGACGGGCGCCGTTGTCCCGCACCCTGACAGCCCTCATGGCAGCATCCTGGGAGGGGAGCCACTCTCCATTCCAGCCTTGGAAGGACCTAGGGCAGCTGTTTCAGCAGCGATATCGTAAGGTTGCGAATATAAGCCGCACTTTAACTTTTCACGGTCGGAATTTGGGGGAGGGGAAAGTGCGGCTTATATTCCGGCCAATACAGTAACTTTA